TGGGAAAGTTGATTGTGACGTACCTAAGAATTTAAAGAGTATTTTTGAATACGAGGATGACTTGAAAATATGTGTATAACTAAAAGCACATATTAATTTATATTTTCTGCAATTGGCTTTTATTATCTTCAAGAAGTGCGTCTGAAAGGGGTCTTACATCAAATTTGATCAATTTTGTGAAAATGGGAAGAGTTATCGAAAAAATAATAATTAAGTTATGTGCATAATTAACCAAATATAAGCATGCATTTGATTCCCTCCGAGATGTTCACAAGAGCAACTTAAATATACCCTTTGTTTTCCATTGAATAAGTATAGGGTATACAAATATATTAAAAAATATTGAGAAAAATATATATATAAAACATGCCCAATAAATCCATTCGTGGCACACTTTTCCAGCCCACATACAAACTATGCAAATAAACTTTGATCCAATCCGTATTGCGGGTCAAATTTATGAGCTCTTCAGGTTCATTATGCCTGATGATAGTGTTACCGGTGGGTCTGCCTTTGATGAACTGTGACAAATCTGTGCAGTTTGGCAAGTCTGTCGCTCAACAACATTCAACTGCAATTCATCAGAGCCGCATTGTGCCACCAACAAAGCTTTGAGCCGGCAGCAAACGCCATTCAACATTTGCCATGTAAATGGCAATTAAGTTGCCCGCAACTGCGTCTCGTGAGGTCTCGTGAACTTGTGAACCACAGCGAAAGCCGCACTCACAGGCACAGAAACAGCCAAAGCCACAGTCACAGCCAAAGCCACACGGCCAAAGGCAAAGGCATGGCCAATTCACATCATCAGCGAGTCCACGTTTGCATGGACTAGAAGAAGGAAGTCTGCAGTTTCCTTAGCTCATTTCCATTTGCCAAGTCGTCTCTCTCTTGCTCTGCAATTAATCGCCGCTCAACTGGCGCACTGATTGCAATTAATCTTCATTAAAGCTGTGGTCCGTCTGGCAATCAGAGGCGGCTGATTCGGCAGCGGGGTGGGGCAGCATGTCCTTTGGCCCAAAGTGTTTGACATGGCGAGCGAAGCAGCACGCTTAGATCCTTACAAACCAATTTGGTGATCATTCGTGAGGTGTTGTTGTCACCAAACAACAGCAGCAACAGTCGCAACTGCAACGACGACAACACCAACCACAACAACAACAACAACAACGTCCAAGTGACCGCACAGCAATCACCTTAATTAAACATTAGGCAAGCCTCACTGCCTGTGGAGTAATGGAGGGAGGTAGGGAGGGAGTTGTCTTGCCTGTGCCTGTTGTGGTGTGGTCCATGTCAGCGATTTCCGTTGCACAAGGCGCAAAGGTTGCCCCAGCGTCGATTGTCGCTTTAATTATACCCTGTGCCCATTAAATCGTCAAAGAGGGGTTTGATACAATTTGCATTTTTCATTTGTTCAATATAAATCGATAAATATTGATTTTCGAGACTCGTATGTGAGCATGTCCTTGAAATGTTAAAAGCAAGAAATATACAAATTATGATGTACATTCTTTCAGTCGATTGGCAGAGATTTCAGGCTCCTGCTAAACTAAGCACTGCTCGTATATTATATGGCAAAAAGTCCTGACTTGTAATAATGGGAAAGTCTCTGTCAATGGAATATTGGCAACTGGACATAGGGCATCTGGCTGTTGTTGACACTCATCTAGGGCAGTCGCGTTTTCTTTTGCAGTTTTCTTGGCTGTTGCTTCGTGTGGCTGCCAGTTGCCAGTTGCTGTTGCTGTTGCTGTTGCTGCTGCGGTGTCAACGTCGTTGACAAACGCTGAAAGGCTTTGTGTGTGATTTTTCATTGGAAACGATCACCCAGCTTGATTTTCACATAAATATATACACTTATTTATATATATTGTTGTGTTGTATATATATATAAAACGGGTCACGTTATTAATTGGTAAACCTTTTGGCACAGCGCATGAGAGAGATAGAGAAAGATTTATGAATATTGATTGCAACTGAAGTGCAACAGAATGTGGCAGCAGTGACAGCAACCACTGTGGCCATGGCCTGTCTGCCTGTTGCTCAGATTGAGTCAGCTTCCTGTCGATTAGGGTCACTCAGCTGTGTGACTACTGTGGCTGCAATTGCTGCTGTTGCTCTTGCTGATCGGTCAGCCGGGGTCATTTCCTGGCTAATTAGCTTTGCCATGAGACAGAAGCAGATTTTTTGTGTTCTTGCTATGCCCCTCGGCGCCGCATTTGCTGCTCGATTCGACAATTAAGCGCCGTCGCGTATTTATGATATTAATTAATTAAGGCAATTTGTGTGCATCTTGGAAATAAGACTACTTGACAGCAACTTGTCTGCCTGTCGCTTGATCAGTCAAAGAGGGTGAACAATATTGAAACCATAATCCGAATCAGAATCAGTCGCAATAAGCCAATTAAATAACCTTGTCGAGAAATAAGTGTGCAGAGCTAAAGATTTCTGTGCATAATATTGCACGTGTTTTAATTACAATTGAATATGAGGAGAAATTATGTCAAAGGTCGTTTTGAAGACGAACGAAAATTTAACACAAATCGCTGAAACTTGTTTTCATTAAGTTCTTATGCAGAGATTTGAAAATAAGTTTGAAGTAAATCGGATAAAACTTAAAACTTCACCAAAAAAACTCTTTCAATCGCATTCTCCACCGATGAAGCTTGGATTCTGCGAAAAGTGGCGTTCCACATTCCAAATGATTTTTCGTGTAGATCCTTGGAAATAAATTTGCATTACTCAACAAATCTTAAAGCACCATTTCCACCAAGGGCAATGGATTGTCCGAAAAGTTTGAGATACCCCTAAAATGTATTTTAACAAAGATCTTTGAAAATGTGTAAAAGGCCGGTCGGATGGTAAACAAAACGTTTTTCGCGATTTTTCCACACATGCGGGTGGAATCTCCCGAAACCCCGTCGTAACGGGCACATTCATCACATTACGTAATTACAGTTAAAATTTCAGATTCCAAGCTCCGACGTGGGCTGTGTTTTATATATAGAGATATATTATGAGCAGTTAAGTTGCTAGATCGAATTATTATCATAGCTATAGTCTATGTATACTAAATTTCATTTCATAAATTACAAACTAGGAACATGAACTGTTGCAAAGTATATCACGCTGTCTATAAACAGCTCTATGATAGTGAAGATCATATTGTATGCACATTCCGGTTCGATCTTTTCACGATAAAGAGCCAACATTGACACACTTTGGGTGGTCTTGGCGCTGACTTAATTTTGGCAAACCGCAAAGGCGACCAAACCCAAATGCGGCAGCGACAGACGAGTAATCGATGGAACGTGTGACGGCAGCGACGGCAACGGCAACAAAAACGTCGCTTGAATTGCAATTGGCTCGGAGAACGAGCGGGCGAACAAGATCGGGGATCGGGCCATGAACAGACCTGGGCCAACACCTGTTGCCCATTGCCATGGCGAAAAATTAAAATTTACAGAAGATACAATTCAAAAAAATAAAAACGAAAGGGCACTGGGGGCCGATGCGCTGCATCATTTGTAAATTCAATTTCAAGTTTTTGGCAAAGTTTCAAAAGAGTCGTCGACTCTATGAGAAGCGAACGCGTCGGGCGCCGGAGGCGATCCATTGAAGGCGCCGTCAAAAATTACAAGCGAACTGCATTAATGTGCGCAAAAATGTATATTTATTGAGCTATTACACACGGAGACACACAGATCTAGAGAAGCGACAAGGAGTGCTCGGGGGCTATATATATGTATATTCGCACAACTCTGCCTGTCAGCTCATTCATAGATTAATTTTGGCAATTTATAGCCGCTTTGATAGTTTTGAGTAACTGCACTAATGGACAGGGGATATGCAGACAGGCTACAGCCACAGCGACTTTGCTTGTCGCCAGAGAATTATGCAATGAGACAGCCAAATATACGGAGCGCCAATAAAGTGCGATGCTGCAACACACAGAGAGAGCGAAAGAGAGAGAGAGGGAGAGAGAGACAAACGGAGTTTGTTTATGAATACACTCTATATAAACGGAGTTCGATTGATTTTGCTTTTAAGTTCTGAATAATGTATGTTGAATGTGTAAAATGAAATCAGTAAGCACTTCTTTAAAATGTTTACGAATTCTCTAAAGAAAGTGCAATAAATTGCCGACAATCCTATGAAGCTCGATAATATCTAAAATATAGAAAAAAATACTGATGATAATATATTTTGTGTTTAACAAACAATTTCTACAAAATATTTGATAACAGAAATTATTCTGCACATGTAAATAACATACTACTGAATTAGTTTTAACCAAGAACCCAAATGTGGATATGAGCTCTAACGTAGAGAATTCTGCCGACCTAACCTAAACCAATATATGATTCCAGAAATTGTTATCTGGCAAGATTCTGGTAGAGTTTATATTGAGTTTTATTGAATAAATTGAAAAGTAAAAGCTTGCAGCAATTCTCTTTTCCAACATTAATTTTTCTTTGTTCAATACTTAACATTGAATTCGGATGTTGTGTTTTTATACTTATAGATATATAATCCCAAAGGTTTTTTCATATCTCAACTATAGTCCGTAAAATATAACTTCGAGGATTGGGCAAAGCTAGTTAGTTTGCGTAAAGTATGCTAATATATACAGTTGGCAATTCATGACTATGGCTGGATCTGGCTGTCTTCCATATTAAATATTTTCTTTGCTTATCTAGTTTTTCGCTGCTTTCGAAGCTTAACTTAGGTGTATTTACTTCTTAAAAGTAATCTTTCTCTATCTCGAATCAGTTTTTGCAATTGTTAGAGTATATTACAACTTCGACTTGAACTGCTTTCGACGCGTCTTATTGCATTTTCGAGTTGGCAGCACGTATCTGGCAGATATAATTATGAATACGTACACGATGTCTATGACAACTATTCACACTCGACTGGAGGTAATTAATAATTGAACTGAGCATTTGTTGAGCAATGCTTGGGTGAGGGGCGTCTGCTTTATAATATTGGATTGGATGACTCACCTGCTCCATTGCTGCCAAACCAAAGGGCCACGAGGTCCTCGCTTGGCGGCGTGTGATGATAATGGTTCCCGTACAGATAAGGATTCGGATAGTCGAGCAGAACGCGACGCGAGGCAGGCGAGGATGTCTCAGCTGCGGAGAAGAGCGCAGAGATCAGTATAGCACCACAACTAATCGTCTAGTTGGCTGGACTTACCCTGCGCTAATTGGGCGGCATAATCCGATGCCTTCTGTAGATTGATGCGTGGGCGCGGTTTGGCAAGTGACTGCAGTTGCTGTTGCTGCTGCTGTTGCTGATGTTGATGTTGTTGTTGTTGTTGTTCCTGATAGGTATTAGAAACGTTTTGGTTTGCGGCCGCTGCGGCCGCCGCTGATGAGTCCAAGAGTAACTGTTGCACCTGCAAAATATCCACGTACTCGTCGAGCTCCACGGAATGGGCGGCAGAATCTTTGTCAGCAGTGGAAGACTGATGCAGGTAGCTGGCTGTTGCCGGTGCAGCGGCTACTCCACCGTTGTTGCTATTGTAGTAGCCAAAAGCAGGAGCTGCTGCGGTTAGGCCGGGCACTGCAATGGGTGGCGGTGCGTGCGGTGCGGCAAATTGCAATGGATTGCGGCTAAGCGGGGTTGTTGGCGTATTAAGCGAATCCTGTGAAGTGGTCGGAGTAGGCGGCACTAGTTCTAAACCCGATGCAGGCTGTGTAGCTGTTGGCGCTGCTGCTGCTGCTGCTGGCGGCGACGGCGTGGCTGTGCTTGTGGTCGTCACTGCTGTGGAATGCTGCTGGCTGCTTATCACATCATTCTGTCGCCTCATTGTCAGCAACATTTTTGTGACTGGACGCGTTGTTGACGAGCGAAAAGCAAACCCAAAATATTGAAATTAAAACGAAAAAGAAACTGAAACCGAAACCGAACGAAAATGAAAAACGGAAATGCATCAAAGGATTTGACTCCATTTGTTTGGTTGGGGACACCTGTTGTGTTGTTTTTTTTTTTTCAGCTCACGAACTGACACACTGTGCTTAGAGATTTGAGCACTTTCTGCTAAGCATGTTTTGATTGGGTTTTCATGAAAGTTTTTTAATTTTTAAGTCGTTTTGCATCTGATTGAACTCTTTGTCAACAAATCAGTCTTTAATTACGGTTTGTTCTTGATATTATGTTAATTCACTGAATGATTGATGGATTGACCTGAAAGATGGAGAAGACAAATTTGTATAAATCTTAAATCCTCAGTTTTGTTTGTGGGATTAAAGAAATAATTTGATTTAACCCTTTGCTCAGCTCTTTTACTTTTCATATGGGATTAGTATTGCATTTTATCTATCCCATCCTCCATAATTACCTTTTTTATGTATATTTCGGTTTGCAAGATCATTTCATTCTTGATCCTGATTTTTTTTTTATATTTTGTTGGACAGAAAACTCATCGAAAAATTTTGATGAATTTTTAATAAATTCTCTGAATATATTTTTGTTTCAATAAATAAATTTTACTCACTAATAAATTGACCATCAAAAATACAAAAACTAGCTTCAATATTTTTCAGTAAATATTTGTGTTTTTTTCATTTTGGAAATTTGTCGCACAATTTGTAGAAATGCCGACGGTAATAATATTTTTTTTTGTTTAGATTCGCACATAAAAGTTTTTTGGCACCAAAAATATATTTCAAAATATATATTTTAATATTTCGATATGCAAAATGTATGTCTTAATTTTCTTTAAAGTATTGTAAATCTTTTTTTGTTATTATTTTTTTTTTTGTGAGCGGGAAAAAAGTGCTTTTTAATTTTGAATGATTGACGGCGTCGCGGGTGGCAAAGTGAAATCGAAAGCAGCCGAGACGAGCTGCTGAGCCGTCAATGCGCTACTGGCGCGCAAGCAGAGAAAATTGAAAATGAAAATGGAAAACTCGCCAACGGTGAAAAATCGTATCAGCAGCGGCAGCACCAGCAGAAGCGGCAAATCGGCTGCGTCGGCGTCAACATCGGAAACGAAACGAAATGCTCGAAAAATTGTTTGTTGTTGTTGTTCAACAAGAGCAACGACAAAACAAGAGAAATGTGTATTAATGTAATTGTTGTTTCATTATATTTTGCCTTAATGCTCAATGACAGTTCGAGCACCTCTCGCATATTGTGCTCTATATGTGGGTGGAAAAGTTTGAAATGAGAGTGAAAACCCGGCATTCCCGATATATTGCTGGGAATGGGCGCCCATCGCTGGCAGCAGCTCCTGTCTAGGCAGCGAGCGTGTGGGTTTCAAAGAGAGAGAGAAAGAGAGAGAGAGAAAGAGAGAGAGAGAAAGAGAGAGAGATAGAGGGAGTGGGAGAGAGAGATAGAGACAGACAGAGAGTGAGTGAGAATGAGAGCGGGCGCGCAAGCGAAGGAATGAAAAAGAGAAAAAATTGAGATAGAGGATGAGAGAGCTGGAGAGAGTGAGATGGGGAGAGTGTCGATGAGAATGAAAAATGGCCCAACAAATTGTCAACGCATCGAACTAACAGCTAATTAATGCCCGCTCTCTCTCTCACTCTCTCTTCCTCTCCCCCTTTCTCTGTCTCTCTCTCTCTCCCTCTCAGTGCGATTTCCTACGCATCAGTTTGGCCAAACATATTATAAATAAATCGTACGTATAACGTCATATGATGCTTATCTAAAAGCAATTGCTTTCACTTTTCTAGCTACTTGAAACAACTACTGATAATTGGCAATTAAACCATAAAATGACGTGCATATAGGTTTTTTATGCGTTCACAGTGCGTATGACTAATATTTGATATTAAGTATACACAAATCAGCAACAGGTCGGCATCATCAGACAGTGTGCGCGCGACAATGGAAATTGTTTGCTTCTAATGGAAAGGAATATTATCTGAAAGAGCTGCTTTTCTATTAAACAAATAATGCTCAAAGGTATATTTATTCAAATGGATCATAGAATGACGTATTAAAGCGCAATATGAAATGAAAATGAACCATAATAATAAAAGGAAATTATTTATTAAATTTTCTGGATGTGTACAAATTGAAAATAGGATTTATTTATTTGTATATTTTGTATATATTTTACTCAAAACAAACTACTTGTAATTTTCCGAAGCTAATCTTTTTCCACCCACCTCGAAACACATCCCTAATTGACAAAAACAGCCTGAGAATATGTCTGTGAATGAAAGCTGCTGACGAATATTTTGACATTTAGTAGTTGCCACTTTGGCCAGCCAAATTCCGCGAACTGCAAACGCTTTAAATGTGCTTTTCAAAGTCAGGAATATGCTAAATGTTGCCGCCCACAACTAAACCAAGAGCAACAGCAACAACTATAGCAACGGCAACGGCAACAACAACAATTTGTAGGAGCAATTAGAGTTGCAGGCAATTCCCCCCCAAAAGAAAAATAGAAAACCAAAAAATGAGAAAATGGTCCCACATCCCATTTGACATTTAAAGGTCAAAGTTGAGCATCAATCAGAATTTGACGAGAATGAGATATTAGGCGCCCAACCAACGGCAGCCTCATGAGTAATAACAGCAACAAAAACACAGCAGGAGCAGCAAAAGCAACAACATCTTATCATATCATAATAATCGCATGAAGGGACAAAAGATGAGGCATTCTGGCAACTGGCTGCCAAGAGAGGAGAAACAAGCCAAACGGGGCCCAAACATTAAGGATAACAGCAGAAGTAAATGCTGTGGTGGCATTTTAACTTGTTGATTCAAGCCAGATGGCATTTCGTTTCCAACCTTTGGTGGGGCTGGCCGCCTGGCTGGCTGGCTGACTGACTAACTATACATGTGTGGGTGTGGAAAAAAATTTTGTTTTCGTTTCAAAAGAATTTCACTTGAAATGCGCTCGTAACGGGGGCGGGCTAAGGAAATGCTTGTCTATTTTGCTAATAGATGCGATTAAACGCCCACAATGTTAAAGGAAATTCGAGCAAGGTTCCTAGCGACAATATTATAATTACCCTGTAAAAATCGTCATGGAGTTTTTGCAAATTTAGTCCGATTTAAACCCGAAAATTCTTAGAGTTACATATGCCAATGATCCGTAAAGTATTTACATGGGAAAAATTATTCGCTGTTTTGAATACGTTACTTTTACCCTCCGTTAAATTGAGAAAGAAAGCTCACATTAAGAGGTAGTGCTTTGCGCTTTGGTATATACACTCATTTGTATACCACATTTAAATCCTAAAAATATCATTTAGATCGGACTATAAACACCGAAGTTAATCGAGACTGCACTTCTTAAACATAGCGCGGTGCGAAAGGGAAGCAGAAGAACAGCCGCTGCATGTGTGCAAAGAAATAAGCTAGAATCTATGTGATTACTGCTCGGGTACAGGCTGAATCCTGACTGAATAGGTATATTGAGTATATACATAGGTGATCTTAAAAACTTGATTAAAGAGGTTTTATCAATGGCGTCACAGTATATAATTGGCGACGAACACATCTTAGCAGCGGCTGTTGAAGCGATGCAATCAGAGTATTTGGAGTCATAGAGCCGGACGCTAATCGAACACTCAGTAGGACCGAACTTATTCCATGTATCGAGTCCATCCCTGACTACAATGTTTGGGCGTTGATATGGAAACCTCGAAGATTGCTCGAAACAACGAAGAACGAGTCAAGGCGCAGTGTAGTCGAGAGTGTTTGACGAGCTGCTATCCTGCACTCTGGCCTAACATGTTTCTACTTAATATTATACTTGTACTGTTTTTTTGCAATTATCGATAGCTTTTCCAGCAGTTTTTACTACCAAATTATGATTTAAAAAATATATGCACATATTCAAAGATAATGTATGCTGCTCATATATAGCTCGTATATAGCATATAAACTGAAATAATCTTGCCCTTCGCACAGATTCGATGCAGACATTTAAAGCGCCAATATTTTTCCAGCTATTGGCTGATAAGCATAAAGAATATAGAGTACAGAATAGTTAGAATAATTTACTTTGGAAGCAACAAGGAGCTGACCCTGAGGCAACGGAATTTTCAGCATTATTCGGGCTTATAAGTAGATACACACACACACATATATATACACATACACATACACTTAGATATTTGTGTCTGCTGGTGATGCTTTGCCCTTTGCGGTTAGCTGCGGAACTGACACGTGTGTGGGTTGCCATTGCTACGGTTTGTCTGTGTGGTTGCGTGTGTGTGAGTGCGCTGCCATGATATCCGTTTGGTGGAGTGTGTATCTGGATATGGCAACAGGCAACTGTTGCTGTCCTTGAGTGCGCAACAAAATGGCGGCAAATCTTATTACTCGAACGAATGTCTCAATGAAAATGCAGCCATCAATGAAAAAAGCTCACGTGACGTCATGCAGGGACATCTTTACGCTGAATGAAAGCCATCCGAAAGTGTATGGATGACTGAGCTTTGCATAAAACTGGAGTGTAAGAGAGTGCCAAACTTTTTTTTACTTATCAACCTAGCTTCATTTTATTTAATGTCAATTTGCGGCTGCTCAAAATGTTCTCTAGTTGAGGCTGCTGATGCTGCACAAACTTTCACTAATGTGCGTTTAATTGTCTGCCGAAGCGTTAATTTTTTTTAATTAGCCACTTACTTTAGCGGTTTTTGGATTTTGCTTTTTTGACCTTCACCTTCATGTATCACATATGCCACACGAGCGCTTTTTGACATTTGGCATTTCAAATTGTTTGTGTGGGGCTTGTATTTACACACATGCGGAGTTTTGTGGGCGGGCTGCAACCCAGAATTGCCGAGCTAATTGGTTTGTTACACCGTTAACGGTGTCGTTTTTCGCTTGTAGCAAACTATTTTATTTAATGAGCATAGTTTTATAATTGGATGTTAACTGAAACTGGAACTGGCAATTGCGATTTCGTTCTGTTTTCTGATTATTTTTATTTTCATTGTTCTTTATGAATCTGTCGTAGCTCTCAGTTGAAGGCAACTGTCGTTTTAGTAGATACTAGGCAATAAATTCCGTTTTTACCCTTTTGATTTTGTATTTAAATTTTAGGCATCAGTTTTACACCCATGTTCTCCCCATGAACATTTTAAATCTACCCGTAAAATTTAAATCTACCCAAATAATTAAAAAATTTTGATCATGGAACCTTTGTTCCACGTGTTCTACCCAACACGTAACAAATAAATTTTCACAAAGATATTCGAAGGTTACGCCGCTCGGAAGGTAAACAGAAAAGTTGCTTCTTTTTCGATAACTATCCACGATAACTTGTGAAATTTCTGACATCGCTGAAAACGTATTCATGAAGTTGATATGTCTCAAATGATTGTCCGTAAAGATCTTTGGAAGTGAACTGGAATACGAAACTTAACATACAATATATTTGATCCCCATTTCCATCAAGGAGGGATGGTTTTTGTATGAATTTGAATTAGGATCTTTTAAATTAATTGCAGGCCGATCGGGTGGTAAACTAAGAAGTTTCTTACAAACGTTTTTCACTATGTATTCATATTCGCGGGTGGAATTTTCAAAAATCTCGTGTTGGCGTGCACCTCCAGCCTATAAGGTAACTACAGTGAAAATTTCAGCTTCTTGTTGATCACCAATCAGTCAGTCACTCAGGACAGATAGTTCAAATATAAACTAAAATTGATTGGCTATGTTTGTTGGCCTGACTATGGTAAAATGTTCTTAAACTTCGCAACTTACCTTCACCTTCATAAACTCCTATCGCCCTTCTATGTGATTTTCATGGCATAAAGAAATACCTAATCGAGCAGATAACTTATTATGCATTTTTGGCTTTTTATAAAAATTCTTGGCTTTAATATGAGAAAATTCTTCTTAAGCAATTATATGTATTTTCTAAACTACAGATAATATCAATAATACGTTTTTGTGATCAAAATTCTCTACTAAATGAATCCATTGTTTGCTCTCATTTCGGTTATTTTCTTTGGTGTCTCGAATATTTGAAATGTCTTTCGCTTTGATGTTCGACCTTACGCAATCATTTAATAAAAATTACCATTAAAATGCCGCATAAATCATAAATAATCCGCCAAATGAAATTGCCATAAACATCCACAAAGGAAAACTTCCAACTTGCACTTGCGCCTGGCTGCTGCCTGCTGCCTGCCTATCTGCCCATTAATAGACTTGTTTGGATGTCAGCTAAGCCCAGGCAATAGACCCCTTGAATAGTGCTTGGGCCAAGCTACTTACCCGCCATAAAAAGGCAATCAGATGTCGTCGATGCAGCGCTGCGATGCACGCGAGGCACAACAGAGACCAGACTCGGGGTATTGAGTAAGGGGCAAACGGGTGGAATCAAGATATGGCGCGTAAATAAGAAGTTTTCAGCGGCATCTCTGGCAAAGGCCGGCAAAACCAGAGTGAGAGAGGGAGAGAGCGCGAACCAGACTGCTAGCGCGTGTATGTGAGCGAGATAGATGTAAGGAAAGAACTTGCAAGCGATCTGCGACTGCGTTTGTAATTAATTACGAGGCGGGCCAAACGGCGACGCACGCGCGACTCCGACTCCGACTCCGACTCCGACTATGACTGCGACTAAGACTACGACTACGAACGCGACTACGATTACGATTCCAGCTCCGACTTGGACTCCACGTAGTTGACTACTACAAGAGATGGCCAGGCAGCGATAAGGCGGTGCAGCTAGTCAAAGGATGCGCGCCGGCTACTGCGATTACGCGACGAGCCAAACGCGAGATAGCGATAAGCAGTGGAAGATGCGGCTGCTGCTGCATCTACTGCTACTGCTACTGCCGATCGGACACACTGCTGGGAGATTATGCAATTTTGATTTGAAACACGCAATTTGGATGGGCGCTTAACGATCTCATGCGGCTGGCGCGTAAATCGGGAGAGCCAGTTGAGATTTTTAACTATTTAGCCGATAATTTCCTTCCGGTTGCGTTTTTGCGTTTCAACTGAGGCTGAAAAACTGTTTGCCGCAGTTTCGGTTGTGCTCCGTTTGCTCAGGCGGCGGCGGCAGCCGCAGCAGCAGCAGCAGCAACGACGCTGGCGACGTCAACGGCGCATCGTGGGCCGATCATCGCCTTACTTAGACAGTCGACTGTCGCCCAAGTGTTTACTGTGTGGGCAACTGTACATACGCACACACACACACACACACACACACACACACACACACACACACGCATACAAGCCTGCAAGCAGCTAGCTGTCTCTGTCTGACACACGATCAACAACAACCCCCGCAATGTGATTTTTTCTTCCATTTTTTTTGTTCAAGTGCTTTTCTCTGCTTAAGCGCAAGTCTAAAAAGACTGAGCTTCTAGCTAGACACACACACACACACACACAGTCATACTCACACTCACACACAAACATACACACACACACACTCTCAAGGGTTAACACCCAGGTCTTAGCACACATTCAAGTATAGCTCGTGCCAACTTTGCGTGTGTGTTTGTGTTCATGTAGGCTTTTCCACTTCTAAGTAGGCTTTTTGTCATGGCGTCGCAGCCCACACACATACACACACGCACATAATTCAAGTGTACATAGAAGTAGAAGCTGATCAGCCCTGCGCCCAGTGCACGGTCGTCGCAGTCGCGGCACCTGCGTCATTTGCAGCAGCCACAGACATCGCCTGGCACTTGTTGCATACGTTCAAAAGTTCACCCAAGCTGTGCAAAAATCCTGCAAGCTTTATGCGCTGAAAGCTCTGCAGCTAAAAATAATACCCAACGAAAGCTATACAAGCTGCTAAAAGCTTTTCAAAGCTTTTTGCATAGTCTGCGCCCACCAGCAAAAAGCGTCGTCACCTACACGCAATAAGCAAGCGTCGCAGCTGGCGTCGGCGTTGACTGTGCTGCTTATGTGGGTGGCTTCATTGATAAATTTGTGACGGCGCTCTGCTGCAGCGGCGGTTGCTGCTGCAGCTGGGCCAAGATTAACTGCAAATTGAATTGCAAAACGTTGCAGCTGTGCGCAAAGAAGAAACAGTTAAAGAGAGAGAAAGAGCGCGAGCAAATGCTACGCTCCACTTTAAACAACGTCATGGCTGCCATGTATATATGTACATATATACATATGTGGGTGTGGATCATGCCCAGCATTAGACTCTTGACAAGGCTTTTGTGAATGAATTCCGTTGCCGTCTCTGTCTGCCGTAGCAGAGACAGAGACAGCGCGAGACAGCTGCCAACGCCCACGCCCACCAAATGCGACGATTTTCTCACACACCAATTGGATTTTAATCATATTCATAAATACACACACATATCACACAAATATGTATTTTCAAACTTCTATTGTTCGTAGTACCCCCTCTCCAAACTCGACTCGACTTCTCATTCACAAAATGCTTAAATAAGGAAACTTGTAAATTAGTTCAAGTGCCCCCCAATACACTGAGCGAAACGAAAGCTTTTTGCGCACTCAGGCAAATTAATTATACTTAACGCCCACATATAACACATCGATTTGCCATTTGTACTGTGGCATTAACTGTAATTGCTCATTCATACAAAACAGCTAGAACAATAACAATATCTGCAAATAATAAAAACGGAGACTTATTAGACCTTATAGATATGATTAATAGACAGCATTTTGTATTGTGCGATTAAAAGAAACTGGGTTGAGCAAAACTTTAAATAACTCTTGATATATAAAACTGAAATTACAAAGTATAGTCAAATATATATTTGTATAAAATAGAGGGTATATACATAGGTATATAATTGAAACAATATCCCTTAAAATAGCTCTTCGACGGGAATTAATTGGGTGTATAACAAATCCTGATTGTATTTAATTACTTAAATTTCAGATTTTCATGGAATACCTTTTTAAACTGGCTTGTATGTCAGATCTGAAACAAAACACTGCTCATACTATTTTGCAAAGCCAATAGATTGTTTTTAATGTCGTCTTAGAAAACAAAAACGATTGATCAATATTTTGAAAATAGTAAATATGGTAAAAGGCAAGAGGATTAAACTATTTATAAATTTATATATATAGCAAATATATATATCTCGACATATAAAACTGTTGAGTGATCATCGAACAGCCCAAATCGTTAGAGTTAAGAAGCTTACATTTTTACTGTAGTTAACTCACGTGATGGAGACTTTGCACTGGAATTCTACACGCAGGTGGAAGAAAATAGAGAAAAGCGTTTTTATGAAACTTTTTTGCTTACGTGTTTCAGCGACGTTCGAATTCCATCCGCACATATGGAAAATTTGCAACTGTTTTGAAAATCATTCGATCGGCTTCATACTCATTATTAATGCAATTTGTGAAAATTTATTACGTAATAATACACATTTTACAATGTCTACCGCTCTTGTGTCCCATACATGGGTGTAAATGGTGTAAAGAACATAGGTCAATTTTTCAGCTTCATAATTCTTACCAAAAATATTTCCAAAAATTGGTTATTTTTTTTATGTACTTTTATATATTTTCAACTTTCTGTGTAAACTATAACTTTACAATTGCAGTTCAAGTTAGGTTAGGTATATTTTGGGGCTTTCTACGGGCGGGAACAGGTGAAAAGGTTGATACACAGTTTGAAGGACCAAACTTGCTACGGGCAGGGGCGAGGAATGTCTGTTAGTATTCATGTATTTGGCATTCAAAAATTTCCTCTATCCCGTTATTTGTTATTTTGTTAAAAGTTTAGGAGAAGGTATCCATAGCAAGAATATAGAAATATTTACTTTTTATAAAATCACCAAATCAAAATCTTTGAACAAGGGAATTTCCGTTCTTAACACGGTTTAATTAATTCTTGAGCTATTAAATGAGCAAGCACTACGAATGCAACAGGCTGAAGCAAACGAATTTATTCTACCCAAATGAGAGACTTCTAAATACCCTACATATAAGGGGAATATCTAGCTAATAAATAAAATAAGAAGAAAAACATAATTAGGGCGAGAGAGTACAAGAGAGTGAGTTAGAGGAAGGAGATCGTAATTCAGAGATAAGCAGAGTTTATTAGATTCTCAGCACAATTGAGGAATTGTCAAAAAATGGTAACATTTAATTTGATGTGCGACCTCTCCACGGCCAAGTTAGATCCAAGCAGTTCTGTCAAGCCTGTCTTATTCTTAATGTTCGGGCAGTGCGCTTATCACCAATTAGTTCGTTTATCACCCTCTTAGTCTGAGAATACTTAGCCGATCCTTGCTGATTTGCACACGATTTTAAACCTGCAAGCTCTAAGACAAAGACTCTTCTATAGGGTATGTTGAAATACCCTTTCAAAAGTTGCCAGCAGACAACGCAGCTGAGCTTGGTGACTGGATTGGAGGTAAGACTACTCATTAAAAGCGGCTCCTGGCTATGGCTACGGCTCCGGCTGCCGGCTGCCGGCTGCCATTTGGCTGTCACTCACTCATTTACTCACTTATTCATTCATTTGGCAGACATTTAACAAAGCGCGTTCCATTCATTAGCATTGCTGTAAGTTGTTGTTGTTGTTGTTGTTGTTGCTGTTGTCGTTGTTGTTGGTTTGCTGACTTGTTGTTGGGTAGCCCTAGACAACGCCTTACTCCTTGACTGCCATTGCTATATTTAGTTTGGCAGTCATGGCCTTGTTAACAAAATGTTTATTTTTTAATTGAATTGCATTTAATATTGGTGTTGAATGTACGCAAAAGGCGTTGCCCGTCGACAGCAACTCTCGCTCGTTATGGGCCCCTATGCTGGTGGCCGGCTGGGTTGGCTGTTAATTTATCTGAAAATATAACTTTTACCAGTCGTAAATTTCCAATATTTCAATTGGCCAGCAGCTTTTAGTGCGTGCGCGTGTGTGTTCCGCTTTGTGTTCATCATCATCATCATCAAATATCGTCAGTATCTTACAGATACACTTGCTTGCATGGTTATGTATCTGTTAGATGCATAGCGACACTTTTATTTGGCATTTGCTTGTGATTTACGATAACGCGCTCCATAAAAGTTCCTATGCACATTTTATCGTACAAAGTTTCATTGATTTTATGCAAATTTTTCTTGCTACCAAGTTTCGTTTTATATTAATATGTGTATGTGTATATAGCAGATATTTATTGAGCATTTTCTTTATTGTCTGACATCAGTTTTATATTGTTTTATTGGCTTTTGATGGCAGCCACACAAGTTGAACGTATTTGGTTACTCTCGATTATCGTATATCTGTTTGATCTTTGAGATCTTTTAGGCATTGTGCATATGCCACCGCTTGAAAATTTATAATTCCTCAATTAATAAACGTCGCTGCGACTCGCCTCCCATTTTTGATATGAGTACGTACGGAGCCCAGCCCTTTTTTTCTGGCCATAAATCTGTTTTATGGGCCAGCAAAAAACTTCCAACCAAAACAAACCAAAAAATAAGCTGCATAAAACTTCTATCAATTTATTTTTTATATTTTTCTTTTCTGACAAAATTTGCAATTTCAATTAATGCAACGCCCCGAGACCGAAAAAACTATGTCAAATAAATCATGAACCTTAAGCCAGGCTAGATCAGACTTTACCTTTTGAGTTCTGTCGCTTTGTAAATGTCTCAGTTATGTGACTGCAGAGCCTAACGTCAAGTTGTGCATTTCCTGTGGGTTTTTCGACTTTAGCACACTGTTTCTGATCTTTCCGAGAAGTATATTGGTTGTGTGCGGTGCTCGTCTGTGTAAGTTGAAGTCATATATACATATATTAGTGCTGAGAAATTAAAATTGTTGTATGAATTCTTGACAATCAGATTGAAATCTGGTCAAAGTTGTTTTTGCAGCACCATCCCCTTGAGGGATTTGAAAGTGATTTACTATTTATAACTTAGTTGTGATTCTTAATTTATATAAGGAAGAGACATAACTATTAGATATCTATTAATGTATTTGTAATCTTAATGAGATATGGAATTTTTGAAACTTAGAGAAAGAATAGATTTTGTTGCTTATCAGCAAAATCGTTTCCTCTGTCAAATGTCAAATGTGTATATATGCCACATGTTCTTTTATTATGAGTATAGCATTGATCTCGACGCCGAGACAATATTCTATCAAAACACTAAAAAGTCAGCAACTTATCAGGTTGCTTAAATTATTAGATCAGCTAGACCGCTGCAATACGTGGAGAACAGTGTATCGACCATTTGGATTATTTCTTATGCAACGTTCTGTTCGGGTTTTGATACTCTTTTTTGAGAAAATTTAAATAAATAAATTGAGTTACCACCTTAGGTCTGAATCTGAGTGCTTGTCAACAAGTTGCATATTTTGGTGTCAAATAATTGCCAGTTGTCATCCGCAGGAGAAGAAGTAAAATACAGAGCCAAGAAGGGCCCATTTAGGAAAATTTCACCATTAACTCAATTGCCGGAGCCTATGCAAATGAATTCCCAGCGCTAAAGCAATCATATTTCCATAGTTTACACAGTTCCATGGAGAGGCTCGTGTGATTGCCCCAGCGATTTCTCTATTAACTATAAGCAGGGTAAATAGGCAATTGACTTGAAATTGGCAATTATTTTTTTTTTCCTTTTCTATTTTTTGCCAGTGCCTAGACAGAGCTGGAGCTGAAGTTAAAGATACATGCAGGCAGTCCACATGTGCATGGATGTGGCTGTCTCTGATGCGCCATGCGAGTTGTTGTTGCCGTTGCAGTTGTCTACGTTGCAGTTCCTCCAAACCCAAAGCACATTATGAATGAATAATGTATGAATGAAAATTGCATGCACGTGCCTTTAAGCTATAAAATGTTGCACTTTTTCGTTGGCTCAGGCAGTTGAAGAAGCGTTTGGTTTGATGGTACTCAAGTTGCCAGACCTTAACTGATCAGATTTTCATTGCATATTTGACCAAGTTCGTCACTTAAGTCGGGGGATAAATGAGCCCAAATATTTACATACTTTAAAGAACATTGAGCAGTGGTAAGATTAAATATGTGCTTATGTTTGCCTTCAGGCGGGGTAAACTTGGAAGTTACCTTAAGGTTTGACATACTGATTAACTGTCTTCTCCTGTTATTATCAGTTAACAATTGGATATTTGAATTGTTATGATGGATTTCGTTTCTACATATTGCCTATACTTGAATTTGTGAAAAGTGTAGGATAATTGAACAAGTATCTTCAAAAATTCTTTTACAGTTAAATCTGGGCGCCTACGAGTTTTTATTTAAATGCAAATTAACTAAATCACACTTCCAAAGATTAGCATAACTCAAATATGGGTCATGGATTAGAATAATCTAAATATGACTATCTGGTAAAAGGTGCTAATCGAGCTTATACAATTATTCTATTCCAACATCTATTGGAATTGATAAATCGACTTACTGATTGTTTGAAAAGTGTCAATTATATAGTTTTATTGCCTAATATAGTTTTGTTGCTATTACTATTTCATTCCTATTACTTTTTCTATTACTTTTTCTATTAACAAAATATTTTAAATAATTGAACAAGTATTCCGAGGGATCAAATTTAAAAGTTAAAAATTTAACTATTTTAGTTGTATTTTAACTATCTCTTCGAAATAATAGAAAAAGTAGCATTTAAAATTGTCGGCAATTACTCGTATCATAAAGTCGAAGCGCCCACTTGATCTCCATTATAATGTAAACCAAGTTCGTCACCTAAGTCTTTTGTTTGTCAGCACCTGCGCCGATATCTTCATTAGCCACTACAACTATGTGTGTGTGTGTGTGTGTGTGCTTGTGTGTGTGTGTGATGATGGAAATCGGTTTTTAATAACCCAGCCACGGTCTTTTAATTAATTGGGTGGAATAGTGGGTAAAAGTGGATCGATCTTTTGTCAAATTTAAAGATCTTGGCCGGCCGCCGCAGTAGCCGAGCAATTTAAATGCAAATCTGATCTGGGCTGGATGAGAGTGCTTTGCATCGTTAAGTTGGCGGCAAAAAGAAAATTCAATTTAAGCACTTTTCTATTGTTAAATGCAGTTATTAGATTTGACAGTTTACAGTTGGCGATAGCTTTGAAGAGTTGCCGCCGCTGCAGTCGCTTCGGCTACGGTTACTAAATTACTTAAGCTTAGAGAATTATCGGCAGCTTGTTTGGTTTTCTGGTGCAGCGGCGGTGCTAGATGAAAGGCTACACAGCGATTTCAATTAGCATTTTGATGGCACTACAAATTGAGCGGCTAGAACGAAAATCGCCGCCATTGATAGGCAATTGATAGCACTTCATAAAGCAGCCGATCGTTTGAAGCTCGGAACTGACAGACAAGGCGGTCACATTATTAAATCATTTGGGGACTTATGAAATGTCACGCGATTTTCGAAAGATTGCGACTGTTCGACCAATCAAACTGGCCTCCAGCGGTGCCAGCTGTGACAATCTTGTGGTAATTAGAGTTTTATTTTAGCCGTTTTTTCGCCAACGGACAAATTAATAGAGCAAACGGCTGGAATGAAAAACCGCTGGCATTAATCAATACAATTTGCCGACAGGGATGCAGTTTTTTGGAAAATAAATGGCAGCATGCCCCATGCCACATGCGACATGCGACGCGACCAGTCAAAAAAGCGCAACACTCGACATTCGACAACCGGCGACAAGACGTCAACTTGTTTGGCAATAAAATTGTAAGCATTTATCTTGTAGTTTGTTGGCGTTTGTATTCCGCCGAGGCCTTTGTGTTTTAGTGTATCGTTGTGTTGCGTTGTGTTTTTCTTGTGCGTAGACAAAAATGGGCTTTTCTTTTTGCATTACAAAAGTATTGAGTTACCAAACGATTTGTCAACGTTTAGACCCAGCCGCAACAAGGTTCGGCAGAGGTTTGCTGCGGTGCCGCGGGGCATTTTTAGCCAGGCATTTTGTTAACTCGTAAAGTTTTGTTGACACTTGCGTTGATGTTTTTGTTTTTGTTGCTTTAACCATGCAAATCAACAAGCGAGGACCACCTGCAAAGATTGGCTAGACATGAGTTTCAAAGACAAGTTACACCAAATGTTGATAGATCAGTGAATTTGTAAAATCATTAATGAATACCTACAGCTCATTGTGTTCCATTGAAATCCTTGTGGGAGTTGTACAACTATTGTCCGGGAGCATCGATTAATGAGAATGCATTTTAGGTTTGTTAATGTTGTTAAAGAACTTTCCGAGAAATACATTTGTGTTTTTGAAAATTTTGCCAAAATTTTTGTAAAACTGACAAGCACCAAACTCTTAAACTTAGGTTTTTCAAAAAGCTAGAAAAATATTTGAAATTAATCATGAAATAAAAGAAAATAAATAAAAGAACAGGGAAATAATTTGTAATAAATTTCAAGAAAAGTGTGTGAACTTTAAAAGAATAATCTAGAGTTCCAACATGGACCAAAACTAAATGTCATATAAAAACCGCTTGAGTTTCGATTAAGTTTTAAGACTTTGGAATTGGTTGGAGCTTCTCGCTAGGAAGTCAATTAACGGTGCTGTGCGTAGCTCTTACTATCAATCAACTATGGTTTATCTTACAGTTCAGCTCTCAAGATTCATAGTTTTAACTACTGTATTGTCGCTCACTAATTGTATGGGATTTTATTGCTCAACTTTTTAAATGAGTGCTGTCAACTAGGGAAATGGCGGATACGATTTGTAGGAGAGAACCAACTAGAGAATAATATCAAACGGGCCGCGTCGTCTTATCACACTATTTATGGACCAAAGCGATCGACTTTATCGGAGACCAGCCGTGCACCACTTAAGGCAAAGCTCTAAGCCGACTATGTTTAATTTAATTATGCTAAAATGAATTCATCTAATTTCATCTTGGTTTCTGTTAACATCCATCCGCAAATCCATATAGTTATGGCTCTGAACGAATTGAACTTGGAACTCGAACTGGAACTCGAATTTCACCTGAAAATTCGTTACACATTTTGGAGCCCATGACGAATTGCGACCCTTTGTTCGTGTTAAATAAAATTAATAGAGAAATTAGGCACAGGCGACTCTCGTTTAATTGGCCGCATTAGTTTGGGGCTTTAAGTGGGGCAGCCTCATAGACGGCCACTGTGGCCTCTCTGCAATTAGTCAATTAATGAAAAAGCCATAAATATAAGGCTAACATTTATTGATAACCCAAAAGGTCTTACTCCCACCCCCTGGCCTGGCCGACCACTGAAATGGCAACTGCAACGATCTCCTCACTGCTGGCCATAAATTAATAGTCCATTATTTCTAAATTTTGTCCACTTCAAACTGTCGTCGCGTCGCCTAGTCGCCCAGTCGCCCAGTCGCCCAGTTGCCGACTGCTGCACATTCCGTCGGCCGTTTCGGCCGCTTCGTTTGCATTTTAATCTTTCGGCCACAAATTAGTCCAGTGCTGACTTTGTGTTGACTTGTCAGTGCGGCCAATAACTTAGCCAGTGCCGTGAACGCTGTCACGTAATGGAAAACGAAAGCAACAGGAGTTTTTTTCTCATGTTTTTTTTTTTTGGAAATTATGTAAATTATTTTGAGATTGAACATTTTTGAAAATTGCTTAATTTCCTCATATGGTCGCTGAATGCAGCAAGAGCTAACAGCTACACTAGGGATGGACGAAAATTTACTCAGCAGGCTACTAATCCTGATCATTAAAATCAGGCGAATATATACACGCTTAAAAGTAAATGTATGAAACAGTTTGACGCACAGCTGCAAGAGTCAGGAAGCTGAAATTTGAACAAATAATCTTGATTTTGTTTATGGCAAATTTGAACTGCAAATGGGATATTCGGTGACAAGTCTTAACTGTTTGAGCGTCGGAATAACAAGCGGGAGGATGCCGATTCACACACAATAGTAATAATAATAAATTTATAAAACAAACAAGGAATATATACATCAAATAGAGGTTTGTTATTATCTTGTTTTTTTTTATATAGATTCAAATAAACAAATTCTGTAATACATTAAAGTCTGATAGGAATACTAGGTCGAGTGGTGAGTGTTGACGCAATTACCACAAACCAATTCGGGTTGCCTTACCTTTCTTTATTTTACTTTCAAGAACATTAACTTCTTTTAAGAAGAATATATAAAAGAATAACGTAACGCATAAAAGAAGTCAACTCCGATCCCATTAAGTATACATATTCTACCTTAGCGTCGATAGCCGAGTTGATAAAGCCGTGTCCATCTATCCGTCTGTCTGTTTCTATGTTTTAAAGCTATAAGTTATAACTTCGTATAGATCCATCTCTCAGTAGCGAAAAACTACATCATACTGCTGCCATAGGAACGATCGGTGGAAAAGTAGATTCTTGTAGGGAAATCTCTTTTGTTTATCAAGTTAACTTCAACAAACTTGGCATGTATAGTCGCATTATGCTTCTCTTATATTTGTAAGTAAAATTTTAGCAAGATCGCACTACTATATCATAAAGCTTTATGTGAATAATCGGTCGAAGGCGAGTTGTAGGGCACAATATTATGTTTTTCAAGATATTTTCAGCATTTTAAAATATCTGCAAAGCCGTATGATAAACGCCTGCCCTAGGGTATCATATCTTCGGCGAGCGGAACATATCCTTACTTTATCGTTTTACGCTGTAGGCCTGATTTAATTTTACAAACCTTTAATTTGTAGTATAATTTCAACTTAATTCTTATTCTAAATAATATTTTAAAATTGGTTCAACACAATCTTGATCGGTAATTCGCATTCACATTAGCTTAGATCTTTTTTGTTTACTGCTAATTTCGCATGGCAGCAATAATTGAGCACTGTCAATTTCACATTCCCCATATGACGGCAGTATTGA